CCCCCCCCCGTGCCCAGGTGGTGACGTACCTGGCGAGCTGTGGGCTGCAGAGCTGCCCCATGCTGCTGGCCAAGGGGTACCCCGACATCGGCTGGAACCCCTGCGGGGGCGAGCGATACCTCGACTTCCTGCGCTTCGCCGTCTTCGTCAACGGTCAGGGACACCCCCCCGAAACCCCCCCGGCCCCGTGTCCCCTCCCGGGGGACCCCCGGGATCCTGGGGGTGCCCCCAGGGCAGGGCAGAACCCAACACAGGGGTGCGGCTGCTGAGCCGGGGGGTCCCTGTGGCTTCCCTGGGTTTGGGGTCCCTGTTTTGTGGGGTTTGGGGTGACTCTCGGGGTCCCTGTCCCGTGGATTTTGGGATGTCCCCATGACTCTCAGGGTCCCTGTCCCGTGGATTTTGGGATGTCCCCATGACTCTCGGGGTCCCTGTCCTGTGGATTTTGGGGTGACTCTCGGGGTCCCTGTCCCTCAGGGGAGAGTGTGGAGGAGAACACCAAGGTCGTGGTGCGGCTGCTGATCTGGGGGGGGGCTCTGCCGTTCACTGGTTTTGGGGTCCCTGTTTTGTGGGTCTTGGGGTGACTCTCGGGGTCCCTGTCCTGTGGGTTTTGGGGTGACTCTGGGGGTCCCCGTCCCTTAGGGGAGAGCGTGGAGGAGAACGCCAAGGTGGTGGTGCGGCTGCTGATCTGGGGGGTGGTGTCTTTGTTGTTCATTGTTTTTGGGGTCCCTGTCCCATGGGTTTTGGGGTGACTCTGGGGGTCCCCGTCCCTCAGGGGAGAGCGTGGAGGAGAACGCCAACGTGGTGGTGCGGCTGCTGATCCGGCGTCCCGAGTGCTTCGGGCCGGCGCTGCGGGGCGAGGGCGGCAGCGGCCTCCTGGCCGCCATCCAGGACGCCCTGAGCATCGCCCAGGACCCCGCACGAGACGGGCCCAGCGGCAGGAGGGAGAGGAGACCGTGAGCAATGGGATGGGGATGGGATTGGGGAGGGGATTAGGGGTGGGATTGGGGAGGGGAACCCCACCCGGGATGGGCCCAGCGGCAGGAGGGAGAGGAGAACGTGAGGAATGGGATGGGAACGGGATTGGGAATGGGATTGGGGAGGGGAACCCCCCCCAGGATGGGCCCAGCTGCAGGAGGGAGAGGAGACCGTGAGCAATGGAATGGGGATGGTTGGGAATGGGATTGGGGAGGGGAACCCCGCCCAGGATGGGCCCAGCGGCAGGAGGGAGAGGAGACCGTGAGCAATGGGATGGGAATGGGATTGGGAATGGGATTGGGGATGGGACTGGGGATGGGGTAAGGATGGGGGTGGTGAGACCAATGGGATGGGGGTGATGAGGATTGGGAAAGGATCGGGAGCAGGGATAAGGATGAGGGAGGGTACGAGGTGAGATGGAGATGAGGAGGGTTGGGAGCAAGGATGAAGATGGGGTGGGTGGGGCGGGGATGAAGGCAGGGGGGTGGTGACGAGGATTGGGAACAGGGGTAAGGATGAGGATGAAGATGCTGATGGGATGGGATGGGATGGGGGTGAAGAAGACGGGATGGGGTGAGGGACCACTGGACCCCCCTGACCCCCCCGTGCCCCCCAGTTTCGGCCCCGAGGAGCCCCCCGAGGAGAACCGGGTGCACCTGGGCCACGCCATCATGTCCTTTTACGCCGCCCTCATCGACCTGCTGGGCCGCTGCGCCCCCGAGATGCACGTACGGACCGGCCACGGGGGGCTGGGGGGCTCGGGGGGGGGACACAGGACTCGGGGTGACCCCCCCATATCCCTGTGTGTCCCCCACAGCTGATCCAGGCGGGCAAAGGGGAGGCCCTGCGGATCCGGGCCATCCTGCGCTCCCTCGTCCCGCTCGAGGACCTGGTGGGCATCATCAGCCTCCCCCTGCAGATCCCGGCCCTGGGAAAAGGTGAGGGGAGGGGGCTGGAAATGGGGAGGGGGTCCCCAAATTGTGGAGAGTGGTCCCCAGAGTGGGGGGGACGGGGGGACATGGGTGAGCCCCAAAATGGGGAGTCACAGGGCACTGGGGACCTGGTGGGGATCATCAGCCTCCCCCTGCAGATCCTGGCCCTGGGAAAAGGTGAGAGGGGGTGGCTGGAAATGGGGAGGGGGTCCCCAAAATGAGGGGGGGGGCACTGGGACTGGGGGGCAACTGGGGGGGACCCTAAAATGGGGGGGGGGGGGCCCCGGGGGGGGGGGGGGGGGGGGGGGGGTGGGACCCAGAGAGGGGGGGGCGGGGGGGGGGGGACACACAGACGGGTTTTTGGGGTGCCCGGACAGACTGAGGGGGGGCACGTGAGGGGTCCCCCTGAGTTTTGGGGTGCTCCCCGCAGACGGGAATGTGGTGGAGCCCCGCATGGCCGCCAGCTTCGTCCCCGAGCACAAGGCGCCCATGGTGCTGTTCCTGGACCGCGTGTACGGGGTGCAGAGCCAGGAGTTCCTGCTCCACGTCCTGGAAGTGGGGTTCCTGCCTGACATGCGCGCCGCCGCCTCCCTCGACACGGTGAGGGGCACCCCAAAAACCCCCTGTACCTCCATCCACACGGTGAGGGGCACCCCAAAAACTCCCTGTGCCTCCCTGGGCACAGTGAGGGGCACCCTAAAACCCCCTGTGCCTCCCTCGACACGGTGAGGGGCACCCCAAAACTCCCTCCACACAGTGAGGGGCACCCCAAAAACTCCCTCGACACGGTGAGGGGCACCCCAAAACCCGCTGTGCCTCCCTGGGCACAGTGAGGGGCACCCCAAAACCCCCTGTGCCTCCCTCAACATGGTGAGGGGCACCCCAAATCCCCCTGTGCCTCCCTGGGCACGGTGAGGGGCACCCCAAATCCCCCTCCACACAGTGAGGGGCACCCCAAAACATTTCCCACCCTTTTCCCCCTCACGGTTTTCACCCTTTTCCCCTCACGTTTCCTGCCCTTTCTCCCTCAAATTTCCCACCATTTTCCCCTCACGTTTCCCGCCATTTTCCCCTCACCTTTCCCACCATTTCTCCCTCACATTTCCCTCCCCTTTTCCCCCCCTTTCCCCGTTCGTGGCCCCGCAGGCGACGTTCAGCACGACGGAGATGGCTCTGGCGCTGAACCGGTACCTGTGCCTGGCGGTGCTGCCGCTCATCACCAAGTGCGCGCCGCTGTTCGCGGGCACGGAGCACCGCGCCATCATGGTGGACTCCATGCTGCACACCATCTACCGCCTGTCCCGCGGCCGCGCCCTCACCAAGGCCCAGCGCGACGCCATCGAGGAGTGTCTCATGGCGCTCTGCAGGTGGGACCCCCCACCCAAACCCCTGCGGCCACCCCCAGACCCGGCCCGACCCTCACGGCCGACCCACCGCCCGCGTCACCTCCCCGAGGCCCATCGAGTGTCTTGCGGGTCTCTGCGGGTGAACCCCCAAATCCCCGGGCCCCCCTACTCCTTCCGTACCCCCCGGCCCCCCCCTGCACCTCCGATCGCCCCCCTGACCCCCCTTTTGTCCCCCCCAGGTACATCCGCCCCTCGATGCTGCAGCACCTCCTGCGCCGCCTCGTCTTCGACGTCCCCATCCTCAACGAGTTCGCCAAGATGCCCCTCAAGGTGAGGCCCCGGGGGGGGTCCCCGTGTTCCCCCCCTGCCCTCTGATCACCCCTAAACCCTCCCTGACCCCCCGTGTGCCCCCCAAAGCTGCTGACGAACCACTACGAGCGGTGCTGGAGGTACTACTGCCTCCCCAACGGCTGGCCCAACATGGGCGTCAGCTCCGAGGAGGAGCTGCACCTCACCAGGAAGCTCTTCTGGGGCATCTTCGACTCCCTGGCGCACAAGGTGGGCTCGGGGGGAGGTGGGACACACCCGGGGGGGACAGGGGGATGGGGGTGATGGGCATGTGTGGGATGTGGGGACACAGGGACAATGGGGACAGTGGGGACAGTGGGAAACGCCCACGCCTCAGGTGTCCCCAGGTGGCTGCGGTGGCTCGGGGGTCCCAGTGGGCTCGGGGTCACTGTGTCACCCCTGGTGTCCCCGTTGTCCCCTCAGAAGTTCGAGGTCGAGCTGTACAAGCTGGCCATGCCCTGTCCCTGGGGTGGCTCTGGGTCACTGTGTCACCCCCCCGTCCCTGGGGTGGCTCTGGGGGTCCTGGTGGGCTCAGGGTCACCGTGTTTGTCCCCGTTGTCCCCTCAGAAGTTCGAGGCCGAGCTGTACAAACCGGCCATGCTCTGTCCCTGGGGTGGCTCTGAGTCACTGTGTCACCCCCCTGTCCCTGGGGTGGCTCAGGGTCACCGTGTTTGTCCCCTGTGTCCCCTCAGAAGTTCGAGGCCGAGCTGTACAAGCTGGCCATGCCCTGTCCCTGGGGTGGCTCTGGGGGTCCCGGTGTCACCCCTGGTGTCCCCTGTGTCCCCTCAGAAGTTCGAGGCCGAGCTGTACAAGCTGGCCATGCCCTGTCCCTGGGGTGGCTCTGGGGGTCCCGGTGTCACCCCCTCTGTCCCCTGTGTCCCCTCAGAAGTTCGAGGCCGAGCTGTACAAACTGGCCATGCCGTGTCTCTGCGCCATCGCCGGCGCCCTCCCGCCCGACTACGTGGACGCCAGTTACTCCTCCCGCACCGAGAAAAAGGCCTCGGTGGACGCCGAGGGCAACTTCGACCCCAAACCCGTCGAGACCCTCAAGTAGGGGCCGCGCAGACCCTCCTCATCCTCGCGGAGCCTCCCGACCTCTCCCAGACCCCCCGACCCCATCCACCCTCATCCCCACGGAGACCCCCGACCCCTGTGACCCCCCCGTGTCTCCCCCAAACCCCCCCGACCCCCATGACACCCCCGTGTCCCCCCTGAGCCCCCGGTGTCCCCCCCAGTGTCATCATCCCCGAGAAGCTCGACGGCTTCATCAACAAGTACGCTGAGTACACGCATGAGAAGTGGGCCTTCGACAAGGTGGGGACCCCCCGACCCCCTGTGACACCCCCAGGGCCCCCATCGGGGTCCCCCCAGCCCCTCTGAGCCCCTCCAACTCTGTGTCTCCCCCCAGATCCAGAACAACTGGACTTTTGGGGAGACGGTGGATGAAGAGGCCAAAACCCACCCGATGCTGAGGCCCTACAAGACCTTCTCTGAAAAGGTACCCAGGGGACCCCCTGGGGCACCCCCAGATCCAGGGGGCACCCCCAGACCCACCAGGACACCCCCAAACTCATCCAGACCCCCAAACCATCCGTCCCCCTCCGGCGCATCGTCACTGACCATCCACATCCTTCAGACCCCCCCAAAACCATCCAAACCCCCCAAAACCCTCCAACCCCCCCCCCCC